CCAATGCCACCTGGATCCTACACACCAATCTGCAGCCATTCCCTATCTCACATTGGAAGTTCATTCAGCCTAAAATTCCATTTCCTCAATTCATCAACATCTCTCATGCCTCTCCTGCCATGGCACAGCTCTTCCTTTCTGAAAATCTTCCTTCCACAACATTGTAAACAACAAATCTTTCTTCCTTCAGCATGCAGCCTGGGTGTCCTACCTTGCAAAGTCTTCCCCAATACCCCCAGAGTAAACTGCTGCAGCCTCTGTACCCCAGACTGCATCATGGCATGAGCAATGAGGCATGCAACTTTTCCATTTCTGTGAGGTTTTCGACGTTAAAGTCTATGTCTTCCTTGACTCAGTGTCCCTAGCAACAAGTGTTGTTTTTCTTTTTCTTTCTTTCTTTTTTTTTATTGTTTGGGATTCATTGAGGGTGCAAAGAATTAGGCTACACTGATTGCATTTGCTAGATAAAGTCTACAAATGTTGTTTTACTTTTTTGAAAATTTTTTCCAAAAGTTTTTTCCAAAAATAAAAAAACAGTGAGAAAGTGGTATTTTTTCCTACTCATTTTTTTTTTTTTTAATTTCAGAATCTTATAGAGTACAGATGTTTTGGCTCCATGGGTTGCTTTTGTGCAGTCTGAGTCAAAGTTATACATGTAGCCATCACCAAGACAGTGCCTAGCATCAAACGCTGGACTTGACATATGGTAAGTACAGCCTCTGTATCCCAGTCTAAGTTTTGGCATGTACTACGAGGCATGGCAACTTAACCAGTTTCCAATTCTGTGAGTTTTTTAGGGATAAAGGCTATGTCTTCCCTGACTCAGTGTCCCGAGTAACAAACATTCTACCTGACGTGTGGTAGTTGTTTGCGGAATGAACAAATGAATGAGACAACCAATAAAGAAACAGCTTGGGGGCTTGGCGCGTGTGGCTCAAGTGGCTAAGGCGCCAGCCACATACACCTAAGGTGGCGGGTTCATATCCAGCCCAGGCCCGCCAAACAACAATGACAGCTGCAACCAAAAAATAGCCAGGCGTTGTGGCGGGTGCCTGTGGTCCCAGCTATTTGGGAGGCTGAGACAGTAGACTCGCTTGAGCCAGGAGTTAGAGATTGCTGTGAGCTATGATGCCACAGCACTCTGCCCAGGGGGACAGCTTGAGGCTCTGTCTCAAAAAAAAAAAAAAAAGATAGAAACAGCTTGGGAACAGCTAGTAGGCAGCATGCCTTGTACCAAAGTTACCATTTAATCAGTCTTCCTCATTTTCTCCAGAATCTGACCCTAGAACTCACCTACCTACTTTAATATGGATCAGACAACTCACAGTAGTAAAATTATAAAATAATTCATAGTAGTCAAATTCAGCTCTTTCTCTAAAGATAGGTGGGTTTTCTTCCCTATGAGGGCTTGAAAGTCTTGTCTTCTGAGATATTCTAGCAACATAATTAACTTTCATAAAAATTACTCAATAAAATCAGTTACCATGCATGCCACAAGCACTCTGGCAGGCATTTGCACATATAATTTCCCTTGATAATCACAGTTCAGTGACGTTATGATGTACATATGCATTTATCAGGTTGCAAAGCTTCTCAAGGACAGGAGTTTAGACTTCCCATAAAACTTATAAAACTCATAGTGCCTAGACTAGTCAACTGTTGCTTATGGTAATATTAATTTAATTAAAAGCATCAAACACCTACTAGGTGACAGACATTAACCAAAGGGTATATGAATACCCTGCTGCTGAGAGGCAGTCATGGTGTATCATGGGGAACACCAGACTTAGGTTCAGACGATATGGGTTTGAGATTGAATTCTGCCTCTAACAAGTTAAAACACATCAACATTTCTTTGAGCTTAGCTACTTCAAGTTGAATGAGGAGACTGGACCCAAAGGTCTCAAAGGCACCTTCCAATTCTAACGTTCTACAATCCTGTAAGCCTGTTTGCTACTCAGTAGAAAAACATCTATCTCCAGTAGACTTTTATTGAAACAGAGAACAGAAAAATACCACTATGGAGCAGACAAACCCCAGTAATTCTGTTGCCTCCCTTTATATTTAAACTCTTGAACATTTACCTGTTCTTCTAACTGGATGTTCTTTTCTAAAACCAAAAGCATATGGTCCCGCAAGGCAGAATGCTCGTGGTCCTGCAGGCTCCCCCTCTTAGCCTTTGATAGGAAGAGAAAAAATAAGTCAGTTTTTGAGAAGCTCAGAAAATGAGAAGTGGTAGGATATTCTGCTAAAGCAGAGTCTTCACAACTTTGCTTGATTTAATAGTTTACACATCATCTGTTTCTAGGTAGGTTACAGGAAAAATGATTCCATTGGGTCCCCTTTCCAGCACTAGGATTCTATAGTATCTGTGTGATAATCTTAAACTTACAGGTAAAGAGAATCAGGCCATTGTCAAATTCTGAGCACTGATTTCCTCCCTTGCCCTGGGAGTATGTGACTGTGGGTTAAGTGCGGTTATTATCATCTCTTAACTATTCCCATGTAAACCTATCTCTGGCAGCTTATCTCCAGATGAGTTTTAAGCCAAGCTAGTTCTCTGTCCTATCCCACACATTTCCATGCTGCCTCCCATCACTGCCCTGCTGCCGTGAGCAGAAGGTATGCAACATGATTTTAATTTCAGCCCACGTGAATTTGTTGCCCTCAAAGTCATACGAATACGTTTGCAAGAAGCAATGGTTGCATTTCTCATAATCATTAAAACATTTATTTGCAAATTGTAAATATAGTAATTGCAAATTACTATATCACTAGTAAAAGCAAATGATAAGTGTTCCAGGTGACCCATGCAGTTTTAGCCAACATTTATCAGCAATTTCCTTTCAGGTTAGGGTTGGCCCCTTTGACAACAGTTTGCCCCGTGTAAGTTTCCAAAGATTACCTCCCCCAGCCATCCCAAGCTTTGGTACCAAGATAGGAGGTTTGGGCCTGACTGTAAAGATCCTTTACAGAGCTGGAAAGCAACCCTGCATCTCATACCCTAGAAGGGTAAACCCTGCCCATTTTGCAACCGAGAAAAACACAAGAAAAAGTTATGCACCCTTTGCTGTTTTCTTTTTTAAAGGCTTCTTATAACACATATTTTTTAAATAGTTTTTTTAAAATAAAAGAAATATATGGTTAAGTCCAACAATATAACAAGATGTAGAATGAAAAGTAAAAAGCTCCTTTTCTCCATCTCCACACACAATTCCCTAGTCTTACAGCATCAGCCAAGATATACATACATTTTAACACTAATTAGAACATAACTACATTGGACGTTTTTACATATGCCTCATGCTTTTTATAGGATGCGTAGAATTCCAAAATATGATTATACACTGTATTATTACACAGTTGGCATCTTAATGATGGTCTCATAGGGTGTTTTTAGTTTGGGGTTTTTGGGGGGGTCGGTTTGCAATACAAACAATACTATAATAAACATCTGTGTGTACTTATATGTGTATGTAAGCATCGTATACTTATGAAAAGATATCTGTGACATAAATCTTACCAGCAGAATTGCAGGGTCTGTGTGGGTTCATTTTTTATTTTCATAAGGACAACCAAACTTCTCTCAAAAAGTAGAATATCATAGATATTTTAATATTTGTCAATCTGATAGTGAAATTACATTTCTTTTTCTTTTTCTTTTTTTTTTTTTGCAGTTTGTGGCCGGGGCTGGCACCCTACTCCTTTGAGACACAGGCGCCGTAATGTAATAATAAATTACATTTATTATTATAATTTACATTTATTTAGGAGTGAAATTGAACATCTTTTCATACATCAGGCAAATGAATTTTTTTCTGCAACTGCCCAAGTACTGTGTTGCTTTGCCTATTTTTCTATTAAATTAAATTACTCAATTCAATTGAATTTTATTCAATTAAGTAAATATTCTTCATATGTTAAGGAAAATGGCCCCTTTTGTGTCTGATCATATGTTGCAAATTTATCCCTCCAGTTTGTGGTTTGCCATTTGACTTTTTTTTTTTTTTTTTT